GATTCGAAAATGGGGTTCGAGCGTAAGGCGATGGGTTATGAAGGGGGGTCGAGCCTGGGCATGTCAGAAGTGGTCCAGGCGGAATACATTCTTGTGCTCGGTAGAGGGCAGTTAAGGTCGGCCTGGCTTGAGCGGAATTGCTACCGATCTTGGCGGTCTGATTGGATTGGTGGATCAATGTGACATTCAACAAGTTCCTCTACAGGTTCACCTCTGACCAAGCTCGTCCTCGTCTCGGCACGTCAAGCCCTTCGATGAATCATGCCTCTTTACTTACTCTTTGAGTGAGGCGACATAAACACTCCCTGAGCCTGTTGGTTTTGTTCGCCTTTGACGGGTTCCCGACGCCGAGGTTCGAGTGAAAAATTTCATGGCCAGATGGTATGTGGAAGGGAATGCTTGGAAGGTATTTAGGCTGTGCGGCAAGGATGATGTGTAAGCGAGGCAGTCGAACACGGGCAAGGGTGAGCAGCTTAGTGGTCGCCGCGGGTGCTCACCGATGGTGATAGGCAGACTCGATGGAGCCGATGGAGGTCACTGCGGTCTCCGGTGAAGCCGACCCAGAGGGTTTGGAGAGGGGACAGGGCTGCTCTTCCCAACCTTGGTTGGCGAAGCAATTGAGGAAAGATGATGTCCGAGAAGCTAGCCGTTGTCTATGAGGACTCGTCTGACTTTTGTAGTGGAGAGGATGGCGGAAACTGACAAGGGGGTATCGTGTGGTACGGACTCCGGCACAAGTCGGTATGTCATGAAGGTGATGGTTCGATCCATTGTTTTGACTGTTTGTTGAGGTCCGGTCCACCGTCATTACATGCTTCGTCTGAGCCTTGTCTGATTTTTCTGAGTTCTGCCTTCTGGGCGGAGCGGATGGGCCCCCCAGCAAGCAACGGCCTCCTGAAATGACCCTCTAATTTCGCCGGACTGTGGGGGGATTGCCGGAGTCGGAGGGCTTGTGGTGGGGGCGATCGCCGGCCTTCGTTGGTGGGGGTGGTGGTCCGGGGCGGTGTGCGTCGGCGCATTGTTCCTGGATGGTAGTTCTTTGTCGCTGGGGGGCGGGGGTCTTGTGAATCGGCTGAGACGGCCCTGGCGGATTGAAGTCTCGATTCTGGTCTTTAGGTTAATGCACTCCGTCGGTGGTCATGGCCAGGTCTTGGTGGAAACGGCCAGTATTTGGACTGACTTTCCGTGGAAGGGTTCGGACGGTAGGGGCCATTTGAGGGTTGTAGTCCCCCGCTGGATCTGTTTTAGGACGTGAATCGTATAGGGGGTTGAGGGAGGGCGTTGTGTACCGCATCGAACGACGGGCTCGGTCGGAATCGATTCTGGTCATTCGGGGGGTGGTCATTATACTGGGCGGTTCATAGGCTCGGAGTCTTTCCTCTTCTCTCTGGGAGTCGGGATTTTTAGGGGTCGGCTCTTTGTCGAGCGGCCAGGGAATCTGCAACATTCATGTATTTCTGAGCTTTGGATAGTAGGTTGCCATGTGGGATTCGGGGGGTTTTTGGAGAGGAGAAGAGGAAGTCAGACGACCGCAGGCCGGGCCATAAAGGCGGTAGGATGACCTGTCGTTCATTTTCTTGCTACTTGAAGAAGGCTTCGGTATCTGAAACGGGTGACAAAGCTGCGGAGCGCTCCCCCTCAGTCTGACGAATGTTAAGGAGCTGGGTGGCCGGGCCCTCTGTGACGCTGGGCTCCGAATAAAAATGGCTCCAGGAAGGAGTCACTGAGGTGTTGAAAGGCGGAGATGACTCCGCCGGTAGACTGGCTAAACACGGCCGAGCTTGATCCTTTAGTGTCACAGTCAAAAATGGAAAAGCTCGGCACATGTTCTCATCAGGAAATTGCATGGGAGGACCATGAGGGCTGCGGTAGGTTTCCAGATGGTCGGACTGGTCCGTCGTGCCATCGAAGGACGTCAATGGTAGGCATTCTTGAATCTGGCAGGCAATGGGTTTGTCGCGGGATGGATGGCAACAAAAGGTGACGTGGCGGTGGCGAGGGCTTGTGCTCGGATGTTCTGCATGACCCTCTTGTTAGTTGGAGTTCATGTCGGATTTCAGCGTCCAGAGGGGGGGGTGGTTGTCGCCGATGGTCGGCCAATGGCAGGCTGACGCTGCTAGCTTCCCCCTCACGGGGTCAGTACTGCAACGGCGGGCGTTGGAGGTGGGTATGTTTTTTCATGTTGGGGAGGAAGGTGGCTGCGAACCTTTCTGGGTTGGTGGAGGGGGCTGTGGAGCGAGATTGTCTGGGGCTGTTTCTTGGTTGGGTGAACGTTTGGAGGTGGAACGGGGGCGGTTCTTTTGGAAGAAGTAACGCATTGATCAGGGCCTGGTTTTGCTCGGCCATGGGTTAATGCTGTTGGGAGCTCGACGATGTATGTGGTGGAATTGATTGGGTGGGAGGGTCTGTTTGGTGGCCGAGGCATAGTTGGTGAGAGCCATGACCTTAGTCGTGACCATTACACCTAGATGGGGCAAAAAAGGAGAGTGATAGTGAGAAGGAGGGCTCCCGGCTGGTACTGTTGAACACAACTACCGCGCGATAAACCAGTATCTTCCCACAGACGGCGCCAACTATGAATTGTATCGATCTTGATTCCCGGGTGGATGGGTCGGACCGGCCCAGGCTCTTCAGGCTCCGGCTCAAGAAGGAGACTCCGTCAGATGACCTGCATGCAAGTTCAGGGGGGAACGGGGTAGTCCCCCAGTGAACCCTCCGGTGCAAGAATTAGAAGAGCAGAGTATGAAAAAACTGTATCTCGAGAGATCAAGAGAGAGAGCAACTTAACCTCCTTTTTTTTCTCTTATCCTTGCTTATATCCTTTTGTCATCATTTTTCCTGTCTCTTGTGACGTGCTTTTTCCGCCGAAAGCCTGTGCCATAGCTCATCTTGTTTAGGGTGATGGAGGCTCTGTTCCGGCGGGGAGTGCTGTTGTAATAAATGCTGTGATGGGTTGCATTAATGGTGATGTGTTGTGATAATAACTCTGCAGATCTTTGTCTGCTGATGTGGCCCGTGTCCCACCTGCCGTGTGCCTAGATGCCGTTGGCCCTTCATGTCTAGGTGGCCTCCAGCTGTTCTGGGCCTTGTCACCCAAGCAACCGGGTTGTGCCATTGGCCCCAAGCACTGGATTCGGGGTGGTTTACCGTGGGCCGTGTGCCTTGTGGGCCTATCCATTTCAATTCTCATCCAAAACATCTAAACCCTTGTCGTTAAACATAATGGTGGATGCGCTAGAAGTGAATACAACTCGTTTCACAGTCTTCGAATGAAGGCATGCCTTTAAAATGCCAAGGGTCCCATTGATTGCTCTTTGGATCTTGACTTCTTCAGGCTCTTTCTCCTTGTAATCAACCGGGTGAGCCACATGGAAGACTCCAATGCAGCCTTGGATAGCTTCATCAAAACTTTCCGGAAGATCAAGATCTGCATTGAAAATTTGAAGCTTTTCTGATGCACATGGAAGGTTTGTGAGGTAGCTGAGGTCTTTCTTGCTATCTGGTTAGAAAACCATAGATGAAAAATGTCAAAAATTCAAGACATTGCACTAATTTGAAGTGAAAATAACGAAGACACATCCGAAGGATTTTAAAAACTGGAGGCCTTGTGAATTCGGCTTTATGATCGAGTAGTAAACGGGTACTACAAATTGGTGCTATGAAAGTGTTGCCCACAACTGAACATCTCAAGCATGTCACAACAACCCAAGCTGCCCAATCATGTTCTAGAAAAAGATACATATTCTCGCTATTTCGTGGATGCAATAAACATCTCCATTTCTTAGTGAATTTTTGTATTTTTTTTAATTTATATTTTGGTAATTTTTGTATTTTATGAACTTTTTTTTTTTTTTAATTTACAAATATTTTTTATGCTTCTAGATTGGGTACATTTAAATTAGAGATGTTCGCGGATTGGTTTTGTGTGGTTTGCGGTTCGGTTTTGACCCGCCCGTATCTATGCGGTTTGGAAAAAAAGTCAACCCGCAACCGCTCGCAGTGCAGTTTGTGATTTGTGCGGATAGGGTTTGTGGATGTGCGGGCGGTTTGCGGTTTACACTTTTTTCTTTAAAAATTAATTTTTGAATTTGTTTCCCATCGAATTTATGCATCAGATTCATTTTATATATTTGTGATCATTTGACAACAATTTTTTGATGAGTTTACAAATAAAAATTGAATATTAATGCATTAAATGAAAGTACCCCAAACAAAAAGACCTACACAAGCATTTTTGCCATGAAAAAAATGTAATCAGTGCATTAAAGGTTGTATTCAATTAGAATTGCCAGTTCAATAATCAATAATCAAACTAGAAGTTCCATCGACCACCACAAGGAAAATTTTATTAGGAAAAAGTGAATGAGTCACCAATGAAAATCATATAAGAAACCAAGTTTAGGACTTGATACTTCTACGGCATTAAGAAAGTTGAGAAATGCTTAAAGATAAGGATCCTAGCGTCATAGAGAACATAATGGTGCTTTTGTTAATGTTACAAAGTTGGTATATAAATAATAATAATAATAATAGTAATAATTAAAGTGCGGGCAGTTTTTGCGGGTTGCGGGTTTAACCCGCGACCTGCCCGCAAACCGCAAATTTGTCATATTTCAAATCGTATCCGCCCGCATTATGTTTACGAAACCGCCTATTTATATGCGGCTTGGACAGATTGGACAGTTTGAGCGGCTCGGATAAACCGTTGCCCACCCCTAATTTAAATAGTAAAATTTTATTAAAATAGTAACAAATTTCCTAAAGACACAAAAATATTTATAAAAAATAAAAATAAAACTCAAAACAAAACAGTCTGCGTTTTCCTCCAATTTTTTGTCATTTTAACTCTTTTTCTCTAGTTTAGAGCATCTCCAACCCGGAATCAAAATTTTCATTAAATCTGAGTAAAAAAATGATTTTTTCCTCAATCTGATACCGAGTGCTCCAACGGTTGATTTTCATCAAATTTTCATCAAATCTGTGCCGGGATAACCAGTTGGCCGGTCGACCGGTTAAGCCAATTTTTTTTTTTTAATTGTTTGAACCTTTTAGTGATCGACCGGCCGGTCAACCGGCTGGTCAACCGGTAAGGCAAATTTTTTTTTTTTCAACTGTTTGAACTTTTTTTGGAACTGTTTGAACCTTTTTTGTGGTCAATCAGTTGGTCAACTGGTTGGTCGACTGGTTGGTCCTCCCCAACGGTCATGCACAATGTTTTGGTGAAATGCGGAGACTGTCCTCCTTTTGGTGAAATATTTGGTGAATTCTCGATTTGATGTCAATTTGGTAAAACCGGTGGAGCTCCAAACAGTGCTTTTTTCACTAAATTTCAAATTTGATACTAGGTATGGTGAAGGGTTGGAGATGGTCTTACATATTCAAACAAGTGATATAAACAACAAAAATATTGCTTTCTATTTTCTTTCCAAATCACCCAATCCAAGCAAACTATAAATTTAAAGGCAACACTGAAATTCAACAGAATCTGATTGAAAACCCATGAAATTTACAGTCATATATATATATATACAAAACGATGAGTAGGGTTTTGAGATAGGCAAAGAGACATATTATTTACCTCGGTGGTTAGAAGATCTAATTGTAGTTCGAACCTTGTAACCATTTTCAAGTAGCTTCTTGATCAACCATGATGCTACATACCCTGTTCCACCTGTTACACAAACACTACCCTTATCATCAAAACTTTCCATCTCTCTCTGTGTCTGTGTGTGTGTGTGTGTGTGGCGCTCTGATTGTATTGAAATATATAGGAGTTTAAATGTTTTGGTTGACAAAGATAACCAAATGAATATGCACTTGTTAATCATTCATTGAATGATAAATTTATGGGAAACACTAAGATGATATAATTTTATATTTTTTTAATTATTTCTTAAATGATATAATTTTATATTTTTTTAATTATTTCTTAAATGATAATTAATGGGAAACACTAAGATCATTCATTTAATTATTTCTTAAATGATAAATTTATGGGAAACACTAAGATGATTTACCCTTAAATGATAATTATTTTTTATTTTTTATTTCTTAACCAAATTAATTTTTAATTTTTTTAAAAAAATTCTAAAAATCAAACCATACATAACCTAAAAATCTTTTGATAAATGGCTTACATACGTATGATTTAAGGGTAAAATTTTTGATAAATGACTTAAATGATAAATCAAACTATCCATAACCTAAAAATTTTTACCCTTAAACCATACGTATGTAAAGGTAAAAATTTGCTATTATAAATTACAAATTATGTTTTATTATAAAAATTACATACGTATGGTTCATATGACTTGATTATAGATGGTTTGATTTATCATTTAAGTCATTTATCAAAATCTTTATCCTAAAATTTTTTACCATTACACACATATGGTTTAAATAATTTATAAAAATTATTACCATACGTATGTAAAAATTGATTATAAAAATTGCAAATAATTTATAAAGATTTAAATAATTTATAAAAATATTTTGATAAATAATTTTTATAATCAAGTCATATGAACCATACGTATGTAATTTTTATAATAAAAAATAATTTGTAATTTATAATAGCAAATTTTTACCTTTACATACGTATGGTTTAAGGGTAGAATTTTTTAGGTTATGGATGATTTGATATATCATTTAAGTCATTTATCAAAATTTTTACCCTTAAATCATACGTATGTAAGTCATTTATCAAAAGATTTTTAGGTTATGTATGGTTTGATTTTTAGAATTTTTTTAAAAAAATTAAAAATTAATTTGGTTAAGAAATAAAAAATAAAAAATAATTATCATTTAAGGGTAAAAAATAATTATCATTTTAATTTTTGGGCAGGTTATATACATACGTAGGGTTATTTCAATTTAATTTGTAAAAAATTATTTCTAACCACTCAAAAGATAAAAATTTATACAAAATAAGTTTATATTATATTTTACAAAAATTGATATAGTTGATTATTATTTACTATTATAAATTATTATTATATTAATTATTTAATTATTATATATAAAAATGAATTTTTCAATTATGATTGTGTGATGGGGTGTGTGTGTCAGAATGTGCGTGAGTGCTGTGGGGGTGTGTGTGTGAGAGTGTGTGAAGTTGGTTTGGGTGTGATTTGAAAACGCATTGGAAACGCGATTTTACATTGAATAGTAGAAGGCGCAATTTGTAATCGCGTTTTTTGGAAAAAAAAAAATTTTTGTAACCACGTTTTTTTCAGGAAAAAAATTATATTAAAAGCGCGATTTCAAATAGCATTTCTTAATAAAAATCGCGATTTCGAATAACGCTTTCACTATTTCATCAAAATGTTTAGGCTCCAAAACAGTTGAAAACGCGATTTCTAATAACGTTTTAGCCTAGTTTGAGGAAATCCATCCAAACTAGGCCTAGTTTGGAAATAGGATGCAAAGAGACTTCGATTTGGGAAAGCCCCTTATTTTATGCTTTAAGGAAGTTTTCAGATATCCTCTCTTATTGTGAGTTATTTTGAGTAGTTTGTTAAAAAATTAATTTTTTTTAAATATATAAAAAAAAGTATGGAAGTGACCCTGTATATCTTTTCTATCTTATCTTATGAAAAAAAAAGAAAGAAAATTACAATTTAAACTATTTAAGTAAAAATATTTACAAAATCATATAAGCACAATTCTTTTCTTTGTAAAAATACAACAAAAATTAAAGGAAATGTTAGCTAAAACATTCTAGGTCCAATGTATTCGTGTGTAAATAATAATTCAAAATATTTTATTTCTTAAATCCCTTTAACAGGAGGCGTGCTCTTCATGAAAAATATATTAATATTTTTTCCTTTTCTTTTTCTTTTCTAAGACAATCTTACTCTAATTATATATTTTAAAGATTTGAATTTCTAAATATATATTGTAAAGATTAGAATCAAATCTGTTAGATTGATGAAGGAATTTACTGGTACAGAAATGATACATTTTTCTTATTTGAAAATTTTAAAAAAACACTAATAATATAAAAAATTAAAAAAAAATTAAAATTAAAATATCACATCACATAAAACATACACAACAATTAAAATTATTAATTTAAAACTTCTTATTTTTGTTTGATTGAATGATATTACCCATGATATTGATGTGATGACGAAGGAAACGAATAGGTCCAACTTCTGACCCAAATCATCGGTATTACCGTGAGAATAGAGAAGAGTGATAGTGACCTTGGGATGCTTGATGTGGACGGCCATGATTAATTGTTTCTATATTTTTTCGATTTGACTTTGATGTGTGTTACTCGTAATGGTGTTTGTTTATTAATATATAAATATAAAAATAAAATTTTATCTCTACTTATTATGATTGCTCATTATAAATTGTACTTTTTTTTTTTATATTTAGGTTAAGTTTGGCATCCTCAAAAAAATTTAAAAAGTCAAAAAGTCACTATCCTATTTAAGTCACATCATCTTATTTAAGTCACATCACGTCTCTAACACATCACTTCAAACCCAACCAAAATCCAACCCATATTTCATAAAAAGTCAAAAAGTACACTTATTTAGTCTTTCCAAACTTGGTCTTATAACCTATTATAGACCGATAGTAAAATTTTTACATTGGTTGTATGGTCTCGTGTGATTTGTTTTGTGAATTTATAGTGATGATACAGTTACGATACAATAAGTTTCAGAGAGAATGGGTTGGACTGGTCCACGCTTCTCCAACCGATATCTGAATGGCCAAGCCCACCTGAGAACCTGCACAGGAGTTCAACGGGAAACGAGGAGCCCCCCAGCGAACCCTCCGACGAGCAAGTTAGAGAGAGAGAAGTGGAATGTAGAGATATGAATTGGAGATAGAAAACTTAACATTCTTCTTGTCTTCAACGTCTGCTTATATTCTTTGGTAATCATTTCGTTGTCCCTTCCGACCTGTCACCTTGGTTAAAAGTCTATGCTGTAGCTTACCTTGTTCAGGGTGAGGGCGTGCTGTCTCGGCGGAGAGGTATTGTCGTAATAAATGCAGTGAGGGGGTGCATTAATGGCGATGTGCAGTGGCAATAGCTTTGCAGATCTTTGTCTGCTGATGTGGCTTGCCCTTTGCCTGCGGCGTGCCTGGGTATTATTGGTCCTTCGTGTCATGTTGGTTTCCAGCTGTTTTGGACCTCATCAATTGGGTTGTGTATTGGGTTCTAAGTGATGGGCTTGGGTTGTTCGTAGTGGGCTATGGCTTTTATAGGCCTAACCACGTCAGTAGTCCCCCATTCCCGAGTGTAGCTTTAGTCCAACGAAGGGAATACTAATGAAGAAGATGAGGGTTATTAGAGATCGACAGTTCAGAGGCCGATCGGTAGGGATGACCAAGGGGATGGATCGACTGTGAGGAGGGGCGACCGTGTAGGGTGGCCGAGCGAAGGGGCCGATCATGAGGAGAGCCGACCGTGAAGGGTGGCCGAGTGAAGGGGCCGACCACGAGGAGGGCCGACCGTAAAGGGTGGCCGAGTGGAGGGTCCGACCATGAGAAGGGCCGACCGTAGGAGAGAAGTGGAATGTAGAGATATGAATTGGAGATAGAAAACTTAACATTCTTCTTGTCTTCAACGTCTGCTTATATTCTTTGGTAATCATTTCGTTGTCCCTTCCGACCTGTCACCTTGGTTAAAAGTCTATGCTGTAGCTTACCTTGTTCAGGGTGAGGGCGTGCTGTCTCGGCGGAGAGGTATTGTCGTAATAAATGCAGTGAGGGGGTGCATTAATGGCGATGTGCAGTGGCAATAGCTTTGCAGATCTTTGTCTGCTGATGTGGCTTGCCCTTTGCCTGCGGCGTGTCTGGGTATTATTGGTCCTTCGTGTCATGTTGGTTTCCAGCTGTTCTGGACCTCATCAATTGGGTTGTGTATTGGGTTCTAAGTGATGGGCTTTGGTTGTTCGTAGTGGGCTATGGCTTTTATAGGCCTAACCACATCAGTAGTCCCCCATTCTCGAGTGTAGCTTTAGTCCAACGAAGGGAATACTAATGAAGAAGATGAGGGTTATTAGAGATCGACAGTTCGAAGGCCGATCGGTAGGGATGACCAAGGGGATGGATCGACCGTGAAGAGGGGCGACCGTGTAGGGTGGCCGAGCGAAGGGGCCGATCATGAGGAGAGCCGACCGTGAAGGGTGGCCGACTGAAGGGGCCGACCACGAGGAGGGCCGACCGTAAAGGGTGGCCGAGTGTAGGGTCCGACCATGAGGAGGGCCGACCGTAGGGGTAAGGTGGAGGGGCACGGGGCTCAATAGGCGGCGTCTCACGTGGTGACTTGAAGTGGAAAAGACAGGTAAAGGGAGGGCGCAGTGAATCGTTGTCAAACACGTGGCAGCACCTCACAGTGGGGGAGGTTAGGCGTTGGGCCAGAAATGAAGCGATAGGTCATAATGGGTGTTGAAAAAACAGTTTGGGCGGACGTTTGAAAAGTTTCAAACTGGCGAGAATTAATTATGATCCTTGGAATACGAGCAAGCCTTGGGCCTTCGGTGTTATTCGTTTTTCCTACATTTTTGCAAAAAAACAAAACATTTCAAGTGTAAACTTCTTCGTTGCCAACAATACACCCCTGCAGCACTTTCTGAATTTTCTTGCGCCTGCATCCGAAGCTATTCGTAGACACACCACAGAAATGGCCCGAGAAGAAACTGGAACTGCCAGGGTTGATCCACTTGGGGATGACGACGCGGTGGAGTTGGCGGAGCAGTACAGGACAGAGAGGCAAGTGGGGAGGGTGGGGGATCCGGCGGTA